TATATATAGTTAATCGTAGTGGTTACGAATCGGGCTGCGAACCTTAAGGTCAGCGGTTCGAAACTACCAGCTGCTCTGCGGGAGAAAGATGAGGCTTTCTACTCCCGTAAGGATTTACACCCTCGGAAACCCTGTACAGGGTCGCTATGGGTCGGAACCGACTCAAAGGCACTTAACAACAACAATAGTTAATCAGAGAATAGGAGGGGTGATGTGGGTACCAAGCAAAAAATGAAACCGATAACCTTTGAGATCCCCTTCAGATCAAAGATTCTGTAATTCTGAGGCATCCAAGGAGTATTACTGATTTCTCAAATTTTGCCTGTCCTTCAAGGTCAAGTCGAAATGGGGACTTCCCATGAGGACCCCAGTTCTAATCCGGTTTGTTGTTAAGTGCCGTTGAGTAGGTTCTGACTAAATGGTGACCCTGTATGGGGCTTCTGAGGAATGAATGGTTGGTGAGCTTGAACTACTGACCTTGCAGTTCAAACCGACAGTCCAGCTCATTAACCTGCAGCACCATACCAGGTCTCCTATCTACTCCAGTAGGAAGAGGTTTTTCTTTCCTCTGAAGACCCCTAAGATTTTATCTTTTTTTCTAAAAAAGCAATTGTTGCCCACAATCTCCATCAAACAAAACAAAACAAAAAAGTATCTGAACTTTTTCTTAGTGACACCAAACACTTTCTGCTGGGTATTGGCATTATTAGGGCGAAGAATTTGTTTCTTGCTTCGTGTGGGAGTTCCTGGAGCGGGGAGCATGTTTCCAGCTCATGGTGCCTGGGGAGAGGCTTCACCAAATATTTGGCAAGTGGTCAGATGAACGAACAGCCAGCTCACTAGATGTGAAAGCCAGTCATCCACATGGAAAACCAAACAACTGTGCTAGAAATTAGGATTCAACTATTAAACTATTAACTTCTATTTGAAAAGATTCCCAGTGTTGGCAGCCAGGTGGAGAAAACTGCCCACTGACATGGTCCTTAGTGACCCCAGGAGAGTGGGGAGGCGTGGCTCCAGTGAAGGTCCCACCTGAGCTCCTCTTCAGGTCTGAGCAGAGAAGTTGGGGTGGGGTAGGGTACAGCAGACTAGGGGAACCTTTTGGAGAAAGCTCTACAAATATGTAGCGACACTTACCAACTGTCCACTCACTCTGACCCAGCATTCGCTTCTGGAAATAACCCTGAAGTGAAAAAAAAAAGTGATGTTGACATCTTCGCACCTAGAGCAAAGAAGAGTGACAAAAACCAAGGGACTAAGGGACCATGCAAACCACAGTCTCCACTAGTCTGAGACCAGAAGAACCAGATAGTGCCCAGCTACATTACCACTATCCACTATTGACTGCCCTGACTGGGATCACAGTTGGAGGTCCTTGATAGAGTGGGAGAAAAATGTAAAACGAAATTCCAAATAATAAAAAAAAGATTCGACTTACTGGTCTGAGAGACTGGTGGCACCTTCAAGACTATGACTCTTAGACACCCTTCATACCTGGAACTGAACCCACTTCCAGGGATCACCTTTAAGCCAAACTCTAGACAGGCCTGTATAAAGTGACCAAGAACACCCCTGAGAAATCTCAGAATAATCAGATGAAACCACAAGGGCAGGATTTGCCCCCAAAGTTCAGAAGGCAAGAAGGTGCAGGAAAGAATGAATGGAAACACGCAACCAAGGGAAGAAGTGAGAAGGTACTGTTAAGTGCTGTCCAGTTGGTTCCAACTCATAGTGACCCTGTACAGGGTTTCTGTGGAGCAGCTGGTGGGTTTGAACTGCTGATCTTGGGTTTGCAGTCCAGTGCAGATTCTACAGCACCACATCAGGGGATTACTTCTAAAGTCATAAAACGTATAAATTATTCAATGGTAAACTAATGTGCTCTGTAAACTTTTACCTAAATCACAATAAAATATTCAAAAAATATTATTTTATGGGATATTAACCACTCCCAAACCGCCCCCCCAAATAAAACCCATTGATAACCAAGTTCATGGAGCTGCCCCACAGGGTTTACAAGGCTGTAAATCTTTATAGAAGCAGACAGCCGTATCTGTCTCCCATGGAATGGCTGGTGGGTTTGAACCGCTGGCCTTTCAGTTAGCAGCAGAGGTGTAAATTCCTGTGCTACCAGGGTTTATTTGCTGCTCAGCAATAAAAAGGAATAAATTACTGATACACACAATAGTTTGGATGAATCTCCAGGGAATTATGCTGAGTGAAAAAAGCCAACAGTAAAATGTTGCGTATTGATTGTTTGTTGTTGTTAAGTGCCATTGAGTCAATTCCAACCCATAAGCGACCCTGTGTGGGGTTTCCGAGGAGCAGCTGGTGAGCCTTAACCGTTGGCCTTGCAGTTCAAACGCATGAACCCACAGTGCCACACCAGGACTCCCCGTATTAATTGAGTCTATGCAAATAAGTTTTTGAAGTGACAGTAGAAATGAAGAAAAGTTTAGTGGCTGCCATGGGTTGAGGTAGGAAGGAGTGTTCCGGAGGGAGATAGGTGTGGTTATATAAGGGCAACAGGTGGGACCTGGAACCGTTCTTTATCTGGCTTGCCAGTGGTGTGGTAAAGTTGCAAAGAATTAAACACACACATACATGACTATAAATAAGTTCAGCTGGGGAAATCTGAATAAGACTGGATTGTATCAATCTTAGACTCCTGCTTGCGACAGTATACAACAGTTTTGTAAGACTTCACTGTTGGATGAAACTGGATGAAGAATATATGCACTATCTCTATTTATTTGTTAGACTTACATGTGAATTTACAATGATCACAAAAATTTAATTAAGAAAATTACTTTCTGTAAGACTGTTCATAACAGCACTAACAGAAATCAGCTAAAACCTTGGTTGGGCTGATTCCAGGGGATATACCCTCACTCTGAACAATGCTAGGTTTGTGGACTGAGGACATATAAAAAGAGCTGTTGATGAATTAGCATGAAATGAAACAGTAGATGACATCATAGGTTCACTGTGAGTCATTCTGTGGCAAGCATGACTCTGGACTGTCAGGGAAATAGTTCAGTGGGATGACACTAAGTCAGTTTCAAGTCAGTTGGCTTTATCCCACACCACCACACCAGGACTCCAATATTACTTTGTTGTTAAGTGCCATCGAGTCGGTTCTGACCCATAGCAACCCTGTGTAGTATTTCTGTGGAGCAGCTGGCGAGCTTGAACCACCAACCTTGTGGTTCAAACAGACTTTGCAGTCCAGCGCGTTAACCCATAAGACCACAAATGAAATAACTCCAATTCTGAGCCTTACTCTTCTCCAGATACTGGTTTTTCCTCCATCTCCAGCAGGTGGCAGAAAAGTTCCAAGGCTAGTCCTAACTTCTGCATTTAATGTGATGGCCCTGAAGCTCCCAGCAGCCACAGGTGTGGCTCAGAGCACCGATCTCACAACCTCTGGGACCTCGAAGGTCTAGCCTTGCCTACATCTAGGGCAAACAGACAGTTGGCTGGCCACAACAGGGTTAACCATCCACATTCCAGAGCCAGGGAAAGGGAGGCTGGAATGTCACAGACGAGGGGAGGGGGTGTGAGGGCCAGCTTCTCACAACACTGCAGGCTCTGTTGGGAGAGATAGATCACCCCAACAATGGTCACAGCTGTTTTTGTCTGCCCTGAAGGAAACTGGCTTAGGAAGCAGGTATCAGAAAGGGCCCTTCCTGCAGGGACTTCTGTCTGGCTTGTAAAACTGTCAGGGCTTCGGCATTCATGTGCCTGGTGATGGATGGGGAAAGAAAGAGGGACAGACGGCCACAGATGGACACAGAGACTTGCAAGTTGAGGCAGGTGGCAAAGGCCTTGAAGAGGCTGTGCAGGTGAGCGTGCTGATTCATGGGCCAGTTAACATACCAAGGGGGGTCTCCCTTCAGGGCCAGGAGGGGTGAGCCCGCCAAACAATCCATCTCCACTGAAAGCTTCCGCCGGCTCCCCTTTATTTTCTTGCACCTCAGGTGTGAACCATTCTGTCCCAATCTCCCCCATCGCTGCCCTTCTCCTTCCGCTCCAGGGCTGAGGTAGCAATTTTACCTCAAGGTAAAAAAAAACTGACCCAAAGTCATTTTTGAAAAATGTAATGGGGTGGGAGACCAGAAAAAACATACATATTATAAAAATGCTGGCCTTGGCTTTCGCTAAGCAAAGGGATTCTGGGCTGTCTACCCCCACCCACAGCCTGCTAGCCTGGCTGAAAAGTATCTGTCATCCTGCACAGCACACACACACACATACAAGCCTGCGCTGAGCGCTGAGGTTTCTCCTCTTTGCATTAGAGCCATGTGATTCTGCTGGCCCTGGACTTGAGTCCCTACCCCCTGTGCCAGAGTGAGCATCTTCACTGTGGCCCTCTAGCTTTCCTGCTTGCCTTCCAGAAGATTCCAAGAAGTACTTTCTTGGTTAGGATAATAAATTCTGAGCTTCAGGTAGTTGGGCCAAGTGGAAGTTCTTTAAGGGCCGAGTGGAAGTTCTTTAAAGACATCTTTAAGCCTTTACTTGTGCCCTGTGCCCGTAAGAACCAAACAGACATTGGGCCATTGGTGAACTTGGCTAAGAAATGGGATTGCCTAGATTCTGTCTTGCACTTAGTTTTTGTTAAGCTAGTCTAAAGGTTGTGTTTAGAAGGCCCCAGAAGCCTAGGGAGGTTGAGAATCGGTAGTGCATTTTGATATCTGCAAACCACAGCTGCCTGCCTGTTGGCCCTGCCTCACACACCCCCTCCTCACTGGGTCACCTGGGAGCACCACCAGCAATTTGGAAATTTGCTGAGCTTGAGGCAAAGTCTTTGGGGGAGGGCTTATTCTGAGCACACCCCTTTCCCTCCCCCTGGGCTGAAGGAAACGTGGGTCCAGCCCTGCCCCATCCTGATCCCATTGGCTGGCATGAGGCAGAGAGGGGTTTAAAAAGGCCACCGTGCCTGGGTTGGAAACTGGAGCCTATGCTACTGGAAGGCTGGGTGCCCTCTTCTGGCTGGCACCATGCAGCACTCTCTAGCTCTGTGTCTGGTCTGCCTGCTGGTGCATGCAGCCTTCCGCGTGGTGGAGGGGCAAGGGTGGCAGGGCTTCAAGAACGATGCCACCGAAATCATCCCTGAGCTGGGAGAATACCCTGCGCCCCCACTGGAGCCAGACAACAAGACCATGAACCGGGCAGAGAACGGAGGGCGGCCTCCCCACCATCCCTTTGAGACCAAAGGTATGGGGCGGAAGCAGAGCCTAAGGGTCCTGGGAGGTAGCAAGGAAGTTTTAGAATCTTCTCTTGGGAGGGTTGCAAGACTGGAAGACCCTCAGCCTCTGCCAGCCCCTGTGAATGGGCTGTCTTGCCTGGGGCCAGAGGAGGAATGGCATGCCAGAGCAGCCTTGGAATGTGATTGCAGGGATGAGAAGTGGGGTAGGGTGGGATGGGGTGGGGGCTGGAAGTAAGTGATCCAGCAGGAAGGAGGCCCAGGGGCTGAGGGCACAGCCCTGGGACCGGCTCAAAAGAGAAATGGGTTCTAAGAATCAGGAACCAGGCCCAGGACCAGACACCACAGGGAGGGGTCCAGAGGAGGAGCCTCACACCCATGGAGCACCTGCTGGATGCCAGATACTCCACAGCAGGCTGGCCTGGTCCTGTAGTCCATAGACCCACCTCAGGGAAGCTGCGTGAGGTGAAGCCTCGGCTTGAAAGTGAAGAACTGTGCTCAGAGTTTAACTTGGTAGTGAACAGAAGAGCTGAGATATCAACTCAGTTTGATCAATTCCAAGACAGCCTGAGCTTATGTGTGAGGGAAGAGGTGTTGGGGCCTGGGAGCTAGAGCAAATCTATCCACCTCCAAAGTAGTGGGAGGACAGAAGCCAGAGAGATATCCCTTCAGGCGCCTTGCCCATGGTCTGCTGGTGAAATGGTACTTGGAGACAGAGGACTTGAAGGCCCATTTGAGCCCCTGATATAAGTGGCAGCTGAGACCGGCAGGGGACAGAGCTGGCACTATTCTATCCTGATTGCCTCATTCCTAGGGAGGGAGTCCAACCTGGGGAGAGTAAAAAAGTGATGACTTCAGTGGACACCCACCTGGGGCCCTGGTCACAGAAGAGGGGTGCATAAGTGACTCTCAGCGGGTAGAGATGGCTGAGGGGCTGGAATGACACCATTGTTAGAGTGGGAGATGAGCTACTTCCCAGGCTCCTACAACCCCACCCCCAAACACACACACACCTGCTGAGAATATGGGCTCAGGAAAAGCGGTCCCAGAGGAAGCCAGTTGCTGCTGGGGTTTTGAAAGGAAGGCAATGAGCATCCCCTCCAGGCAAAGTCATCTGAACTCAAGCAACTGCTAGATGGGCTTCAGGGAAACGGCCTCTAAGACAGCCACTGCCCTGGGCGCTCACAAGAGGCCATAAGGAAGCCAAACACACTCAAAACAAAGTCACCCTCTTTAGAGGAAGTGCCTGACCGGGAAGCACTATTCTTGGAAAGCCCCAAGTGCCACCTTCCCTGGGCAAACAGGCCACCCCCACATACCACCCCTGCAGCCTCCAAGACACCAGACCATTAGCCACCTCAGAGAGAGAGGCAGTCCCACCTCTCCAGGGCCACCTTGCCTAACTCGGGTTGAGGTCATTTTAGGATGATTTTTTAAATCCCTCTGTGTCATATTGCAACTATCCCCATGAAACCCTTGAGGGTGGACAGGTACTTGCATTTTAAACAGACAGGACCTGCTGTTTAAAAAGTTCCCATATATCCAAGCCCATAGTAGGTGACGAACAGGGGCGCAAACCTGAGTTGTCAAGTGCCAATTCAAGTGACACAAACAAGAGATGTGTTTGCAGAGTGTTTGGTGCCCAGCAGATGTTAGTAAGTGTGGGAGGGGGGCTGAACCGGTAGGTTTCAGTCTGAGCTCAGGCCCAGCCTCTCAGGAGTGCTCTGGCACACAGCTTCCATCCTTGTGGGAGCCGAGAGATGCTGGGGCTGCTGGGGCTCCGGGAAGACAGACTCTACCACTTCTGCACAGCCCCAGGGGCCTCTGTTTCCTCTTCTGTAACAATAGGGTTGGTTCCTTCCATATTGAATGAATTCTTGACAACCTCCTCTTCTTTTCCTCTGCAGTAGCTACTCCTGATATCTTAACTAATCCCCATTCATTTCTCCATGCCCTGCCCAACCCTACCAGTTGATTGGACAAAAGTTTGGGAGTCTTGGTGTGGTGATGTAGGGTAAGCACTTGACCACAAGGCCGATTTGAACCATAAGGTCAGCGCTTCAAACTCACCAACTGCTCCTTGGAAATCCTATACAACAGAGTCAGGCAGAGGGTGTGATTAGTACCTTTACGTGTCCCAATCTGGGACCTTGTGGCATAGGAGAGGGCCCCTTGGAGAGGAATAATAAATAATGCCTAACAACGAACACAGCTGTGTGCCAAGGATTAATTCCCGGGACAACCCATTTTACAGATTGGAAGTAACTTGTCTAATAATCACACAGGTATTACGAGATGGAGCTGGTATCTGAATTACCTAAGTTTCTTGGTTGCAAAGTCTCTGCCACCATGCAGTATTGGGGCGGGGGGGAGGGGCGGTGGAGAAAGGGGAGGAGAGGTGAGGAGGGAGACAGAGACGTTTCTATCCGCACCAGTACTAGAAACCACTCTGTAGAGCGGTGCCCAGGGGGCAAAAGCGTCAGAAGAAGGTGAGCACAGGTTTGGAAAAGGTGGGGTGGGTGAAGGAGGCCAGGCTAGGCAGCCGTTCTCCCTAACTCATGAGCGCCTTTCTCCGCAGACGTGTCGGAATACAGCTGTCGCGAGCTGCACATCACCCGCTACGTGACAGAAGGGCAGTGCCGCAGCGCCAAGCCGGTGACCGAGCTGCTGTGTTCGGGCCAGTGTGGTCCGGCACGCCTGCTGCCCAATGCCATCGGCCGCGGCAAGTGGTGGCGCCCCAATGGGCCCGACTTCCGTTGCATCCCCGACCGCTACCGCGCGCAGCGCCTACAGCTGCTTTGTCCTGGGGGTGCTGCACCGCGCTCGCGCAAGGTGCGCCTGGTGGCCTCTTGCAAATGCAAGCGCCTTACTCGCTTCCACAACCAGTCAGAACTCAAGGACTTCGGGCCCGAGACGGTGAGGCCTCAGAAGGGCCGCAAACCGCGACCGCGCATCCGGGGCGCCAAAGCCAACCAGGCGGAGCTGGAGAACGCCTATTAGAGTCCATCGCGCTGCGCTTCTCCAACGGGCGCCCCCGACGGAGGTCCTCCCGTGTTTCTGTCCCCTGTGCGTGGTTTGATTGTTTGTACTTCATTTAAAATACCAGCAGCCCAAGGGGAGGCAACCAGGCCCTGCGGAATCCGGGGTGCCAGGGGAGTCCCGCAGGGCAGAGGAGGGAGTCACTGACACTGAGCCCCCTCCGCAGACCCACCCCCTGAGGCCGCCCAGTTTTGCTGGTCTCACTGTAGGGGAGGCAGACATGGAAAAGTTTTCACTACCCGGGATTTTAAGGAAGTGGAGGAGAGTGGGGACAGCCTGGGACTGGTCATGAAAGTTCGGCGGGATCTCCCCTCAGGTCACCTCTCTGCCTTCAAGTGCAGGGTTTCTCTAAGACCACAGGCCTGAGGGTCCTAGACTGGCTCTGCCACTAACTTGCTATGTGACCTTGGACTGACCACATTCCCTTTCTGGGCCTCCACTTCCTCATTTGTAAAATTAGGGGTGGGGTGGAATGAGGCATCTATCATGTGATTCCAAGGACTTGGGTACCCTCTGAATGGACAGAAGAGAGAATGAGCTTGGATTGAATTCCTGTGGAGATCATTTCCAGAATTCGAGATGTGATCCTCTGATCTGACAGCCAAAGATGAAACAAGCAGAAAACAGACAAGAGTCTATTTATGGCTGAGAAACTCCTGGAAGATTCTATGTTGTTTCCAGCCTGGCCTCCCCAGATGTTTGGCTCCCTCCACTCCTCCATCACAAAGAATGCAGAAATCACACCATCAATTGGGGTTGAGAAGGAGGGGATCCCAAGGGAAGAGGGCGGAACAGAATTGCCTCTCTCTTGCCAACAAACAGCAAGCACCCTCTCCCCTGCCCCATGGTCATATTTTAAAGTCATCTTGCACAGAGATGCTCAAAGTCACCGCACACTGAGGTCCAAGTTTGGCATTCAAAGGTCCCACAGATCCTTCTCTGAGGCACCTCTTCCTGCCCACCACTCATGGTCACATTTCTGTCTAGAAAATAGCTTCATACTGCTCTGACATGGGATGGCATAACTTACGTTAAAAGAATATTATTGGGGAAAAAATTACAAGTGCTGTACATATGCTGAGAAACTGCAAGGCATAATAGCTGCCACCCAAAACTCTTTTTGAAAACCATTTCCTGACACCTCTTACTTTCTGTGTAGTTCTTAATAGTTAATTTTTTTTCTTTTTCTTTGTAAGCAGAAGCATATGTTGTATCAAAGCCTGCAGGGCTGACTGGTAGCTTTTGCAGTTCTCCCACATGGCACTTGTACACAAGAATGAAAGTAGTTGTTTTTAAAAGAGTTAAGTTACATATTTATTTTCTCACTTAAGTTATTTATGCAAACGTTTTTCTTGTAGAGAAGGACAATGGTCATATTGCTTTTGTAAAATAACAGTCTGTTCTCTCAGAACCCGGAGGCATTGTTAATAAAGACAATGAATCATTACAAGAGGATGTGGTCTCATTTTGTCAACCGCACACAATGTCATTTCTGTCAAAGTTAACACCTTACTCTAGGTCACTAGGGTTCCAAACTTGGAGGCACCTTTGACTGCTCTTTGGTGATCCTTGTGTCAATTATGTCCTTCCTTTGAAAAGTCATGTTTGCCTCTTCCTTTCCAAATGTAGGCCTCGTTCCTTCACCCCACCTCTACTGCAGTAACCTCATCCTGGTCTCCCTCGAGCACCTGCCCACTGCACTCCCGTCCCCAAACACCACACTGTTCTCATCATTTCACATGCCTGCTTAAGAGCCTTCAATAGGTCAAGTTAGGGCTTCTCCATCTGGCTTTCCCCCGTTCGATTTCCATCACTTCCTCCAAAGGTCTGTACCTTATTGATTCTTGCCTCCTTAGTTTGACACCCCTACTTACCACCACTCCTTCTTCTTGTTTAGTGCCATCAAGTCAGTTCTGACTCATAGTGACCCTGTATAGGGTTTCTGAGGAGTGGCTGGTGAATCTGAACCGCCGACTTTGCAGTTCAAACCAACCTTGTGGCCCAGTGCATTATCCTGCCATGCCATACCAGGAATTTTTACTTAGGGTTCACATTATTTATTACCTCTTCTCTGACCCCAAGATGCTCCAATCTCTCTCTCCTCAAATGTCCAAGCCACACACACACCTTTTTTTTTTTCTAATTTTTGTCGTGTGAATTGAGTGAAAGTTTACAGGGCAGATCATCAGTTTTACATTCAACAAATCATATACTTTGTTTCATTACAATAATTATAATCCCCTGTATGTACGATCAGTTAACAATATTTCTCTCTATTCATTTTATTTCTTTATTTAAACACTCAGGCATATATAATAATTTACACCACCAAAAGGAACATTCTGCAAGTCTGCCTCCTAGCTGCCAGCTCTCAGTCCCTCTCTTCCCATGAATTTAGAGTCCTCAGCTTCTCCCTCTCTCCATGTCCCCATCTCTGCCTCCATCTCTGGTGTCGCTGCTTCTCTGGATAAGGTCTCACATTCCGCTTGTTATCTTCTCCCTTGACGGTCCTAGGGTCCTCTGTTTCTGGACTGAAAGATTAATTACTCCCCCATTTTTGAAAACTTCTACCTTTACAATTGTGACAGTTGCAATTAGTCATGATAACATTTACTCACTATTGAATCATAAGAATCTTATCCCCATCTCTTTTGACCAGACCCATCTAGACAAGATAAAACTATTCAGTGAGGACTCTATCTTCCCCCACACACTCTTAAACTAAACTCCCTCTTGAAACCTTGCAAGCCAGTCACTTCGTGCCTTTATTGCCCCCTCATTTTAGGTAGTCAATGTCTAAGTTGTCCGTCCCTATCTACCCTGTGTACAGTGGGGATAGTATTGATACTTGATGTGAAGACTCCTTCCCTCTCTGTTGGTATTTAGAGTTACTACCTCCATGACTATAGGTCAAGTTCATCAAATTGTAGCAATTTACCCTCGTTTCCTTTATTAAAAAAATTTTTTTTTTTAAATTTTTTTATCTTCCTCTAGTCAAGTTCTGATTACCAAGCCATCGAGGCTAGGTCACATGGATACTATCTGCAAGTTTGGGTGTTCTTGTGCATCTCCCCTCACTTCATATCAGTTGGATGCTTCACTGTCAGCTCTAGCCCTCTGTGGCTCAGCTCTGTCCTTGTCCATGGGCTCAGATGTCCCCAGGTCTCACCACACTTTGGACCAACCAGCCTTTCCCCTTCTCTCTCTCATCTCCAGGTCAACGGGAGTCTATGGAACACACACACACCCCTTTTAAAATGTGTTTTCATTTTTTGGTGTTGAGTATAGAAACAATCAGACCCGAGCCTCTTTGTCCATGCCCCTACTTTGGTTCCTGATATTGCACTTCCCATGTGATGGATGTTCAGGGAATGCCTGTCTGGTCAGGTCAAGTCCTGCTTGCTCTCGGAGGAGACATGAGCCCAGTAAGATAGGACTAGCTCCTGGGGAAGTGGGTTCCAATATGGTTCTTTTGTGCCTCCCCAGTGGGAATGTAAGATTTTTGAAAGTAGCAACCATATCTTATACTTCTCTGAAAGTTTTTCCTCCCCAAGATGCCCACCAGTGATGGATGCTAACCAGCACTTAAATACCTTTCAATTGTCAGAAGGAGAGATTAACATATGTAAAATTTAAAATCAAGTCCAGCCTATCTTGTTTCACCCCAGGAGCCCCTGCCAATGTCAGCTGAGGTAGTCCTCGATTATGTTTCAGTTTAACTCCCTCCCAGTGACCTCTTCTAAATTTACTATCATCATATAGTCTTTGATAGATGCCAGTGGATGTTGCTGACTGGTTCCTCATCATCACTCCAGATCAGGAGAAGGCCACAACGCATCTTGAAGAATTTCCCAGGAACAAGTAGAACACAGAGACATCATTTATTTAGGCTGAGAGGTGGTGTGTCCCAGTGGGTGGGGGGACACAGGCTCTGGACCAGGTCTGTAGTTGCATTTGAGAAGGTTGAGGCACAGAGAGGTTTGATGCTTAGCTGACAGCCAGACATGGGCTCAGTGCCCCAACACTCACTCCAGCTGTCCAGAGCCTGGTGGCACATGGGCAAATCATCAGATCATAGTATGTTATGGGAACCAGGAACATGAGTCATTTGCTTGGTGGCAGGGACAAGGGATATGTGTTTGGGAGGGTTTCTCAGAGGTGGGTGCTGCTTACAGGCTTACCAACTGGAGAAGAGCAAAGGCACCAAGGTGACAAGGGCATGACTATGCCTGGGTGGATGTAGGTCAGTTGCTTCTCAGTGTGGACTGAGTCCTCACCTTGTGCAAGACAGCACAGGACACCAGGCTTCCTGGGAGCTAAGACTAAGTAAGGACCAGCCCAGATCCCAATCCCGTTACCATGAGGTGAAAAAAAAAAGCCCAAAGGCTAAATTGTAGGTCAGGTTGGAGGTTATTTATGGAAAGTTATATTCTACCTACATGGGGTCTAAGTGCCTGGCGCCAATCAGAAACAGAATAAACAACTGGCTGGGCTGGAAGGATGGCCTTCTGCTGTAAGAAGTGCGTGATCTGGGGGCACAGCCAGATGCGGGCTGGTATTAATAGTCTGAAAGTCACACGGACAGAAGGGTAGAGATCTGTTTAACACACACACCAAAAAACCCCAGCCAAAGCCATTGCTGTCGAGTTAATTCTGACTCGCAGTGATCTTGTAGGATAAGGGAGAACTAACTACCCCATAGGGTTTCCAAGGCTGTAATCTTCATGAAAGCAGACTGGCACATCTTTCTCCAGCAGAGTGGCTGATGGATTCCAACTGCCGACCTCTTAGTTAGAACCAAACACTGAACCACTACCCCACATACAATCCACAGGACTATACTTATGTTCCAAGTACACATCAGTCTACCTTTGCACAAGGTGGTAAAGGAAAATCCACATGACTCCGAAGTCCCCCGTTTTTCTTCGAAGCAGCTGGGGAGAGTTGTTGTTGTTGTGATG